GATTGATGTGAAATATACAGTCAAATTCAAAAAATGTACTAAACTTAAGTGTACAGCTCAGTGATTTTTTTTAACCTATAAATTTACTATGTATACACATACTTATTACACGTGAATAGAATACTTCTGTATTCACAACTACAGCTGTTAATGTATGTATATCATAGCTCTCACTGGCAGTTCAAGTCAGTAAGCATTTATTAAGGGGCTCCTGTGTGCCTAGCACCATCCTACTCTTTTGTAAGGAAGTGAGGACAGAACATTCAGCTGGTGGCTGTGATGGGGTCAGCTGGTGGCTGTGATGGGGTGGCTGTGATGGAGTCATAGTCATACTTCGACAAAACTATACCACCCGTGCCTTGGAGGGCAACGGCTGCCTGTGTGATCTGCCTGCAGTGCCCATATTTTTGGAATCCAAAATGGGAGCAGTTGTCTGCTGTGTCTGTATATACAAACTCATGGAACCTCAGGAAGATATCATTGGATCCAGGATGTTGGGTGAGGGCAGCCTCGCTCCTAGCACAGAGCCAGGCACAGAGTGGCCAAGGAGAGCGTTTTTGGGAATTGATCTTGCTCTCTGGCCTGGTGCTACATGTCTCTGGAAGCTGGGCGAAGGGTGAAGTCTTTGACCATAGGCTGGATCAAAATGAGCTGGAGCCTGTCACGTGCGTGTGAATCCGCTGGGCCCTTCGGAGGCACCCATCTTTCCCCCGCTTTGTGGTCAGCCTGGCCTTGCTCCACCCAGACCCCATCCTGCCCCAAATCGGGGAAGTGCCCCTAGCGGGAAATCAAGTGAGTGGGCAGGATGTGACCCATGGTGAGGCAGCTTCCAGACCTGGCCCGGTCCCTGAGTCAATGAGCTCTCTGAGAAAGTGCTTCTTCCAAGTCACTACAATGTGGACACCTCTCCTTTCCCCTCTACTGCCCCTCCCTATCCAGGTGTGGGTCTTTGGGTGCAGGAAACTGGTCTCCTCCTCCTCTAAGCCACGAAGGCCCATTGGAGGAATAAGGGACCCTGCGGAGACCTGGTCTCAGCCTGGAGTCAGGGAAAGCTGCTCCCTTGGGGTGTGGTGACAGCCCTGGCCTGGGGTGCTGGATCGATCCTGTCGTGGAACCCCGGGCTCCAGGCCTGATGAGGGACAGAGGAGGACAGAGGGGGCTGGGCCTGGCTGGGGAAGGCTGGCCTGGAAGGCACCCAGCCGCGGCCCTGGGCCAGGGTGGAAAGTATGTGTGTGAGCTCATTTGGAAGGTGGCTTCTGGCCAGTCAGGCCTGCCTCCTTTCCAGGCCTTGGCTGCCCAGCCCCCTCGAACAAGGCTGCCTCTGGGTCTCCCCAGTCTCCCAAGACTGTCTGAGTGAGGAAGGCAGAGACCCACAGGCTAGGTGACTGATGGGAGTTGCTCTCCTAAAGGAGGTGAATTCAGATTTGGGGCAGTGGGTTGGATGGGGGTACAGGGACTTCAGAACAATGGAGCAACCTCACCTGGGGTTCCCCAGGGCCTTAAAGAATGGGAACTGCCCTGAAAGCCTCCCCCTCCTGCCAGGCCCCTGACTCAGACATTCACCACCCACATCCCTCCCCCAGCTGCTGCCTTTGTCCCATTCACTTCCTCTGGCTTCTGAGTCCTATGCCTCCTCCATCCCCTCAGAATACCTGTTCCTGCCCCCAAGAAGGAAGGTGACTCCTGGCCAAGCGGACTCCTGAGGAAGAGCCCTTCTCCCCTGTGCTACTGCTCCTTCAACACAGCACAGCAGGGAAGCACACACATGCTGACAGATTCCGCAGAACACACACTGCCATGCAGACACCCAGCTACATGGAGTCCACAGTGGAAGAGACACCCAAGAGACATGGTCAGAATCTGCCTGTACAGGAAAAAAAGTCAGACAGACTTGGGTTTTAATTTTGGACTACTGAGCTGTGAGCTTGAGCAAGTCTTATCTGGGCCTCAGTTTCTGCATCTGTAAAATGGGGCTATGTTTGTGGTTTCCCACCACCTCCCCTTAGCTGGAAAGGGAAATGGGAATACAGAGGGTAAACAAAGGACTGGGAAGGCTGTCAGACTGTGGGGAGATGGGGCCCGGGAGAAGAACAGGGAAGGACCAGCAGAGCTATGGGGGTCACTCCGCTCAGTCCCCTCTCCTCTAGAGAGTCCAGCTCCTCTTAGATCTTCCCCTCCCTTCCCATCCCGTGGACCCAGCACCTGGCTGGCAGCCTTGCAGGCATGGGCCCAGCTGGTGGCAGGAGCCCCGAGAAGGGAGTTGATGTCAAGGGCGTCCATGGCTCCCCCAAATGTGTGGGGTGCAGTGATGGGCAGAGTACAGTCCAATCTCCTGAGAGCCCGCTTCCCTGGGTTCTGCCCAAACCTCCTTGCAGATTCCCCTTGGCTCCCTCCTGGCGGCTCTAACTCACATGTGCTGCTTTCGAATAAAGGAACTTGGAACCATAGAAACTGGGTCAGGCCCAGTGGACAAAGCAGGGTAGGGCCAGTGAAAGCAATATTTGCAGGTCTCCCGGGGCCTTCTGCTCTCCCCTCACCCAGCCTGACCTGGTGGTTCACTCAGCTGGAGCCCGGTGGGGTCCCCGGGGCAGCCTCACTGGGCTGGATCCCTCAGACCCAAGGCATGTCAGAAGCACGGGACCTTGCAGCCTTCACCCTGCAATTCTCCCAGCTTGTGAAGCCTCTTCCACCTCTTCCCCCTTTGTCTCTGGTCCTCCATTCCCATCTCTCCCCCTTGGCTTCAGAGAGAATCTTGTGATTCCAGAATCAGGGCCAAACAATTTCCTCGTGATGGGGAAACCACACTCCAGACGCCAGAGCCCTAGGCTCCCTCTCCTCTTCCCTCTGGCAGTCCCCCCTCCCCATGCTCCTCCACTGGCTCCAGCTGTGTTTTGCAGAACTCCCACTGGATAACATCTGTAATTGCCTCCAGATGTGGGCCACAAAAACACAAAAGGGCCATGAGCTCATCTCTGAGCTCCTTGCCACACGCTCAGGCCTTACCACCCCCAGATGCCCCTGACTTCTCAGGGTCCCCATCCCCTCCGGTGAGGGTGCCGGGGAGGTGGTGTCCAACTCCACTGAGACACACAGGCCCTGCCAAACAGCTGTTGGGCAGGAGAGGCGCAGGAGGCCAGGCATAAGGTCAGGGTTCCTGGCTGGCAGGAAGGCGGGGTACCCCTTCTGCCAAAGCAATCACACCAGCCAGCCCTGACTAGCAGCTGCATCAAACGCCTGGCTTAGGCGGGGCCAGGCCTCTTGGAGGCAGGCCGTGGAGGGGGCCTGGGCTGGAGCCGGGAGGGAGCTAGGGCCGGGCTGAGGCAGGAAGGGAAGGAGGGGAGAAAGAGGGCTGCTCCCTTCAGCTGAGCTGACTCAGCAACTGAGCGATTGCTCCCTCCAGGCTGGTTTGGAGGAAGGGTGGGTCGACAGCCTGGGAACCCTGTCTGGGGCAGCAGTTTCTAAGGAAAGAGGAAACAAAGCCCTGTCATTCTGCCCTTCCAACCCGACCATCCTGCCTCTCCTGGGCAACTGGGGTGAGATCCCTGTTTTGCCAGAGATAGGCTGCTCCTAACTGGCCACGGGGCAACCTCTTTCTTTCCCCTCTGTTCCTTCTGTCCCTGCAAGGGAGCCCCAGGCCTGGGAGAGGCTGAGATCCTGAGGGCTGGGGAGAAGGGCCTGTCCCCCGCTCCCCGCCCCCAAGCCCGAGGCTGACTGTGATGGGGGAATCCCCCAGCAGCCGCGCGAGGCCTGAGCAAACGGAGGGTCTGCGGCTGGATCACACGACCGGGTAACGCAATTTAGGAAGATTTTCCGAGTGGCTTCAGCTTGGCCACTTCCTCTTGCTTTGCAGTCCTGGGCCTCAAAGGTAGCCTCTTAGGCCAGGTTGGGAGAGGGGAGCTGGCTGGGCTCTGCAGACAACTCGCCGGCCCCCGTGGAGTATGCCCTCCTCCCCATCTCTGGGCCCTGGATCCTTTTCGCCCACCGAGAATAAACATATTCCATTATGTATGAAAAATACCAAAACCCCACCTCACGGAAAACACCGCACGACCTTCCTGCTTTCCATTCCCCTCACAGTCACGTCCCAGGCACACACAAACTGCAGCCACACGAAGAACGTGAAACACTGTTTATTCTTTGTGGAAAGGTTGAACAAGGTCGAAAATGTCCTTAGAGGGCACTGACCCAGCCCCGCCCTGCAGGTTCCTGGGGTCGGACGCCTCTGCCCCACCCCCACCCCTCCCCATGCCCCTTGTTAACAAAAAGGAACGATTTGAAGGGAATTCATATATAATAATTATAATAAAAATATACATTAAACAAAACAAAAAACCCAAACAAGACAACTTCAGCCGAACTGCCAGCACCGTTCACCGCACTCCTCCCACCCCTGACATCCCTCTCCGCTCACTGCCCCCACGTGGTCTCTCACTCTCCCAGGTCTCCGGGTACCAGGACCACCTTCGGCGGCCCAAGGAGACCTCAAATGGGTGGGCCGGGTGGGGAGGGGAGGGCAGGACACCTGTAGGAAGGGCTGGGGGGGGTCGTCGGGAAGCGAGGGGCTAACCTGACAAAACGCCCGGGCCCCCGCCGCTTCCTGGAGGCTGGCGGAGGCAGGCTGATCCTCGGCTCCCTAGCTAGGTGGCTGCTCTCATCAAGGTCCCGGGTTGCCAGTCCCCCATGTGTGCCCTCTCTGCTCCTTTCTCTGGCTCCCCGCCTTCCCCTCCGTGTGGTCTGATTGAAGCCAGGGCACCAAACGGGAGCAGGTGTGCCTTTCTCGGGCCCTTCCTGAGAGCTCCAATAAAACGTGCCCTCCCCCGGGTACCACAGCCCACCCTGTAGCGTCCCTGCCGGCCTGGCCTGCCCGGCCCCCCCCC